AAAAGTCATGTCGCGGGGTGGGGGCGGGGAGGCGGGCCCTCAGGAGAGGGTGTGGGCAGGGTGCCGAGGGGCCCTCAGCGGGCAGGTGGAGAAGGCTGTGACCCTGACTGCTCAGAGAATGTCCCCCCACTTGTTGACAACAGAGGGGGGTCCAACCCAGAGGGGGTCAAATGCATACAGACCCAGGGCGAGAAGAGCAGGCCTCCTGGCCCCCGTCCAGTCCCTTGAGCAGAAGAGGATTTTTCCAGCCTCCTGGGGAGGGTGGCGGTGGAAGTGGGTACCCCGTTTCCTGAGGCCCCTTTAAGAGCCGGGTCTGGGACAAAGCAAGTCCCCAGACCTGGCTGACCCCACCTGCCCACCTCCATCCCAGGGGCCACACGCCCACCAGGTGGAGGCCTCGCACCCTTCTCAAAATGAAAAGGGCTCTAGTTTGTGGAAACTGAGGAAAATGATTTAAGGGATGCTGGTGCTTCCAGGTTTCAAGTGGAAATAAACTTCCTTGAATGACCACTTTGGACACTGTCTCCACGGGGTGTGAGAGAGAATGTCCCACCCTATTCTCCTGCCTGTCTCTGTGTCTGTCTCAGGCTTCTCCCCTCCTCCCCTCCACGGACGTGGATATCAGAGAGGAGTCGTAGCATCTCGCATACTGTTTCCATGGTTTTCCATTCTTCACTGGAATGGTGGGTGAATGGAACCTCTTTTGTCCCCACATGGCCCCCTCCCACATGGAGGGGCTTGGGCTGAGGGCAGTGCAGGAGGTCGGGGCCCTGCACCCTGTGAGAGAAGCAGGAGCGGCCGAGAGCCCAAAGCCGGACGCTGAGCCTGCCCGGTGGGCCCAGGATCGCTGTCTCAAGTCACAGAAGCTTCCGACTAAGGACGCTGAAATGAAAGAGTCACCCCTTTCCAGAACCAAAGGGCCAGTGCTTCCTGGGGTCCCAGACACCCCAGCTCAGAGTCTCATAATGAGTGGGACGCTGGGACTCAGAGACTCTGAGAGCCAGCAGGCTGCAAACACCAGGATTCTGGAGAAGGGGAGGAGCTGAGCAGTGTCCTTCCTGGTGGCAGGGTCTCTGGATGAGTGGCTCCCTTTCAGGAGACTAACCCCCTGAGCCTGCGTGGACGCCTCCTGGGAACGCCTCACACCTCACTCCATGACTGCACTGGGTACCCAGCTCCCGCCACTCACTTCCCGCGACAGAGAACTCACTCCAGTCCCGTGGCTCTGCTGGGACAACCCCTACACTGAGTCCCTACACCAGGAGAGCCCCTACACTGAGTCCCTACACTGGGCCGGACTTGCCCCACACCTGGGACCTCTCTGAAGAGGCCCTGGGGAAACCTGAGGCAGCCCCCAGGCCTCTCTTCTCTAGGCTGAGCAGCCTGTCCCAACACTTCTTGGTTGGGGCTTTTCTGGGCATCCTGGAGACCCAACTTGGAAAAAGACCCAGAGGTCACTCCAACTGGGGCAGGGACCTCAATGCCTGGCACCCCAGTCATCACGGAATTGGGGAACAGAGACCAAGTCCTATCCCTGGCTCAGAGTCTGCCAGACCAACAGATGGATGCGTGGGTGGCCACTTCTCCAGCCCAGCTACATGCCTGGGAGCCAGGATCTGCCTGGGTGGCCCTGAGGAGTCCGGACTATGTGCTGACTTCAGAGCATCTGGGGGCTGCCGGGGCCTGGTGCTCGTGGGGTCCGGCTGCTCTGTGCCAGTGGGTTGCGGCTGACAACCAGCTCCAGGACATCACCCGCCTCAGCCAGGAGTGGCACCGCCAGGCAGCAGTCGAAGTCCCGTGTGCGAACGTGGTTGACCTGCACAGGGCACAGCCAAGGGGACAGGGCCAAGGTATCAGCTCAGCTGGGCTGAAGGGGGTGGAAATCATGTGATATGTGATTTCCCACATGGGGGTAAGTCACCAACAAGCACACAGAGGAAGTCGAGCTTCACATAACTCTTCCCATCCATCTTGTTAGGTTTCATCAAAGAGAAAGTCCTAGGGAGCTGCTACTTTTCCTTTCCTACTCCTCTAGCACTCGCTTCCCTTGCTTTTTCTGTTTTTGGCAGCTGGCCGGCGCGGGGATCGAACCCTGGGCCTCGCTGTTACAACACCACACTCTGACCAGCTGAGCCATCGGCCAGCCCTTCCCTTTCCAACACAAGCTAGCAGAGCACACGCTTGGAGCCTCCTGCGGCACTGCCTTGTTTCTTTTCAGCTGCATTTTACAACGACTTCTATTTCGAACAAGGGGTGCTGGGTTTTCATTCCTAATTGAGACAAAAAGTTTCCTTTTAAAATAAACTTTAGTTGAAAAAATCCCATCAATTTAGAGAAAATATAAATTAAGTGAATTTAGTACAAATATGGCAAAAACTACACCAAGGGAACAAAAACAGCAGGGGCATGGAAAAGGGGGGGCTAGGTGGCCAAGCCGGGGATGACCCCCATTTCCCAGGCTCCCTTGCAGTCAGGAAGGTCACGTGACTAGGCTGGAAAGAGGTGACAGGTGTTGCTTCTGGGTGCAGGAAGAAAAACATCCACTTCCGATTTTCCAGTCTAGTTTCCTCTGCCAGAGTCTGAGGAGGTCGTGTATCTTAGAGGGTAATCGCAAGATGGGTGGGTTGTCGCCTGGGTGGAGCAAGGCCAGTGGCAGCCCACCATGTCATGTAAGAAGTAAATAAGCGTCTGTGTGTGTTCAGCCCCTGAGGTTTGGGGTCTTTTGTTACTGCAACATAACTTCACCTAACCTGACTAATACAACACACGCTGTCATCTCCTTGTCACAAACGAGTAGAAATGGGGCTCTTTCCCCCCCTAGGGCTGGGAAATAAGGCCACCCCTCTGTGGTTCCCCCACCCCAGCATTACCTGAAGGACCCTGTCAAAGGGCCGGAGGCCTCCACGTTGGGCTGGCCCATCGGGGCGCACTGTGTGGACATAGACGCCCTTCTCCAGGAGGCCATCTGAGATGCTGAAACCAAAGTCATTCCGCAGGCGGTCCTTGTGCCCCCACCCCAGCATTACCTGAAGGACCCTGTCAAAGGGCCGGAGGCCTCCACGTTGGGCTGGCCCATCAGGGCGCACTGTGTGGACATAGATGCCCTTCTCCAGGAGGCCATCTGAGATGCTGAAACCAAAGTCATTCCGCAGGCGGTCCTTGTGCAGGGTCACCTGGGAGCAGGGGGAGGAGGAGGCCTCTGGAATTCCGACCTTTGCCCCCAGCCTCCTTCTAGAGCCTGAATCCCTCGGTCTGGCATTCAATGCCTCTGGGGTCCAGGCCCAGCCCACTGCTCGCTGCATACCCAGGCTTCACAGCCTCAGCATCCTGCCCCCCGAGCCTTTGCCCGCCATATGCCTCTCCTGCAGTTCACAGCACTCAAGCACAAGGGAGTCCCCCAGAAAGTGATTCCCCCTTCAGTCCTTTCTCAGTCCTCCTGCTTTCACCAGGGAGAAGGTCTTCCCCGCTGTTAGGGGGTATTTTTACCACTCCCAGGACTTGCTCATCTCCCATTTACCAAGGAGTGGCTGCAGGCTCAGAGAGGGCTGAGGGCTACTGGGCTAGAGGTTTCTCTTCCTCTTGTTTTATTTTTTATATAGAGACCTACAGATGGCAAGAGATTCTGGCTTCTCATTTACAGTAGTGATGTAAAGTTGTGATATATGGAAAAGTGAGATAAACACACACATGTTTGCATATAATATATACACCTTTGTGTGTGTGTGTGTGTGTGTGTGTGTACATAAAATAACTTAAGTGGGGCAAAAAGCTAGTCTACTTAAAGGAAAATATTAACAATGGCCCAGTGTGTATCACAGGTATGAGTGTGTGTGTCACCCAAATGATGAAAGTTTGGGAAAACTCAACCTAGTGCAAAATCTCTGTTTGATGGTGGAGGAGAATAAAGTCCAGAGAGGGGTGGGGCCCATATGAAGTCCCGCGGCAAGTCCTCATGCACGGGACACGGGCCCAGGTCTCCCATGCCCGCCCCCAGTGCCCACCTTGTGCATCTCCAAGGGTGTCGGCGGCAGCAGCTCCCGCACCTCCTCAGGGGAAGCTCGCACCTCCCGGCTCCTCCTCCAGGGTTGGTGGCCAGGCCTGCCCTCAAGGGCCACGCTCTGCACGGTTCCCGTCATGATGGACGCCTGAGGGGACACAGCCCTTCTCTGTCAGGGAGTCAGCATCTGTCCACACCTACTGTGTGCCAGCCTTCAAGATCACATGGTGAACAGGATAGACACGGTCGGTCCCTGTCCACTTGGGGCTCTCAGTCCAATGGTGGTAGACTAGGGAGTCATTAACCAACCACACTAATAATCAGGATAATAATAACAGGCACTGAATTATTAGCACTATCTGTGTGCTAGGCTCAGTTCTCAGCACTTTATATATAGAACCCATTTCATTCTCTGCAATACAATGAGGCAGGTAAATACCATTCTTTTCCATTTTACAAATGAGGAAACCGAGGCTTAGAGAGGTAAGATTTGAATTCAGAGCCTGCTCTAAAGTCAGGGCTCTTACTCACCCTGCTATATTGCTCATTGCATCATCAATAAGATAGTTTGGAGGCAAGTGGAGGCATTCTATAGCACCTGTCTTATTCAAGAGGAGGATAAAGGTGTCGATTAGATTTTGTTAGAAAAACCAAGTTAAGAAAAGGTGTTGAAAATTTAAGTTAGGGGCAATTGGCCTGGTTTTTCAAAAAGTCGGTGTTGTGGTATATCCATACAATAGAATATTATTCAGCCATCAAAAGGAATGAAGTAATGATATATGCTACAATGTTAAGTGACAAAGGGCCATATATAGTATGAGTCCTTTTATGTGAAATATCCAGAACAGGCAAATCCATAGACAGAAAGTAGACAGTGGTTGCCAGAGGATGGGAGGAAGGAGGAAGAGGGGAGTACAAGCTTGCATTTTGGGGTGTTGGAAATGTTGTGGAATTAAATGGTGATGGTCACACATCATGAGTATACTAAAAGCTACTGAACTGTACACTTTAAACTGGTTAAAATGGTGAAAGTTTGTATGTGAATTTTATCTTGATAAACAAAAATTTTAAGTTGGGGTCACTAAAAAGGCACTGGACTAAAATTAGGAGATAGTTAAGAGACATAGCAACCGGGTACCAAGCATGGATTAGACATGGATTTGGACAAGCCAGGTATAAAGGGAAGTTTGGGGCCAACTGAGGAATCCTGAATATGGTCTTGGTATTAAGAGATTAAAATACATTGAAATAAAAAAGTGGAGTAGCTGACTAAAAAAGGAGATTTTAAAATAATATGTACATCATGATCTCATCTTAAAAATACATATATACTCTTTTAAGCAGTAACCAAAATACATTGAAATAAAAAAGTGGAGTAGCTGACTAAAAAAGGAGATTTGAAAATAATATGTACATCATGATCTCATCTTAAAAATACATATATACTCTTTTAAGCAGTAACAGTGGTGATCTACGGGTGGTGGGAATGTGTGTTCTTATGCTTTATTTTTGCTTATTTTGCTTTTGATTTTACTTTGCTTATCTAATTTTGTACCTTACACATGTACCACTTCTGTAATAATAAAAGATTTTAAATGTAAAAATTGGATGTTGAAAGTAAAACAAATGAATTAAGGATAATCACTAAAAGGATACAAATAAAATTTAAAATCTCCAAATTGGAGACTGTGAAGAGAGTGAACAGGAATGAAAAAGTTATCAATAAAAATAAAGGAAAGATGAGTAATCTGGAGAAGTTACAGAGAAAATGGGGTAAATACAAAGTATAAATTATATGCTAGAATTAAGCTTAATTATATTAGTACTCACAATAAATATAGACTAAACTTGCCTTTTAAAAAAAGAGAATCACTACATACAGTACACAACAGATGCACTTAAAACAATGGTACAGTAAATTTAAAAATAAATTAGAAAAAGGAAAATATTATTAAAATAAAGCTGATGGAATGTTATTATTATGAGACTAAATGGAATTTAATTTAAGGTAGAAAGCACATAGGGACAGAGATACTGATTAATGATAGAAAGAAAAATTCACTAAGAAGTTATAGCAATCATGAATTTATATGCAACTGGCAATAAAACCTCAAAAAATAGAAAACAAAAATTGACAGAATGTCAAGGTGAAATTGCCAAATCCATAGTCATAGTGGGAATTTTATCATACTGCTAACAAAACAAACAAATAAAAAAATAAAGATAAATAAAGCATATAAAATTCAGTAAAGATGTAGATTTGAACTAGGTGTATTAACAATCTTGATCTATATAGAACTCTACACCCAACAAAAGAAAATTCTTTTGGAAACATGTACTAAAGCTGATCACATGCTAGACAACAAGAAAGAAGTCTTAACTCCAAGGAATTAATATCAAATTGAACACATTTTCTGGCCAATATAAACTAATGTGAGTGGATTTTTTAAATTGGACTAATAAATTTAAAAACATGCAGTTCAAAACTAAAAAACCCATTTCTGTATAATTCAAGTGTTTAAGTAAAAATGACAGTGGAAATCTTTAAAATTTTTGGAATTGAATGGAAAATAAGAGTACCACTAATTAAAACTTGTGGGACACAGCCAAAGCAGTGCTTACAGGTAAATTCATAGCTTTAAATGCGACATATTAGAAAACAAGAAAAACTGAAAATTGAGGAGTGAAGAAACTAGGAAAAGTATTATTACTTCAAACACATGAAGTAGAAGGAAGGGAATATCAAAGCTAAACACAGAAATGAATAACGAAACATAAGGGATAATTAACAAAACCAAAAACTGGTTCTTTGAGAAGCCTAGTAATTGGTAAGACTAATGGAAGAAAAAAATGGCCTAAATCAACAAAATTAGGATTAAAAAGGGGAAAAATCACAGATAAAGCAGAGACTTAAATTAAATCAAATTGCTCTCTGAGCAGAATGAGCTTCAGAAGTGACTTAGTTGGGTCCTTTCTGGATCCTCCCAGGCAGCCTGCTCCATCCATGGGCAATGCTGACCTCATGCAAAGCCACACTCACCTCAGGCTTCCCATGGCTCCTCACCTCCCGTGTCATCACTGATATCGACATCCACACACTTCCACAAGGCATGCCCACAACCATGTGCATGTATCACACATATGCACACAAACACCAAAACTGGCCCTGTGCATCTAAATGTGCACACACAAACACATATGTTCTGAAGATACACTCTGTACTTGTGCATGCATGAGCACACTCACATGCATGTATATCCACATGCTCCCAATGCACACGTGATTATGTTGACCACATTCTGTGCCCACACACCCTGCTATGCTGTACCACGATGTTCTCAGTCACACCCGCACACATGTCCATGCACAGATGGCACTTGAGTGAGGACTCCTTCACACAGAGGGTGCCCAGGTGAGTGCATGTGTATACATGGTACACACATGTGAGCAGGATCCCCTCGACGTGCTTGCCTCCCACAGTACACATGCCAGTGTGCCCAGACCCAGGTGTCCCCACATACCTCCAGCTCCCTCAGCAGTTCTGACTGACCACATGACTGCAGGTCTTCAAGGGCTTCCCCGAACACACGCCAGAAGCCCTCCTCTTGGGCAGGGCCAGGGACTGGGCTGTAACGTAGGAACCAGAGAGTGTCACCTCCTGGTGGGCTGGTGGGCGGGCAGGTGGGCTGGGGCCTGAGGAGTCTTCGGGGCCCCAGGGCCCAGCGTTGGGCTCAAGGGGCCATAGGGTGGGTGGACAGGCAGGCAGACATCCTCGGTGGCAGTTCTGGGGCCCCAGGGCAGTGGTTGGTGACACGAAATAGGGGGAAGACGCAGTAAGGGGTAACCAGGACTGTCGGTGACCAGTTAGAACAGGGGCAGATGAGACAGGGTGGAGAGCGGTGACACAGGACGCCTGGGAAGAGAGACAGACGTACAGAAGAACAGACAGACAAAGAGATCCATGGTGTAGCCCCAGAGGACAGCCCCTGACCCCACCCAGACACATGGCACTGTGGGACAGTGACAGGGACAGAGCTAGAGCCAGCAAGGACACAGATGGATGGAGAGGATGAAATATTTGTGCAGGGAAGGGGTAAGACCACCTATAACTTCCATCCCTGGTCATATGAGCCCAGTATGAGCTCTAACGTGTGTCCCACTAGAAAGGTGAACATTCGCATTTTTACAAAGCCATTTGACATGTACAAAGTCCTGGACGTTTATAAGGCATGCTATGTTTGCAAAACACTTTCCCTTTTACAAAAATACTCCAGCTTTATTCTCTTAGAGAGTTTCAGGAATGAGGACTAATTACCTCCTTCCCTTCCCATTTTACAGATGAGAAAACTGAGGCTGGGGCCGGCCCGTGGCTCACTCGGGAGAGTGGTGCTGATAACACCAAGGCCACGGGTTAAGATCCCCTTACCGATCATCTTTAAAAAAAAAAGAAAAACTGCGGCTGAAGGCCATTTTCTCCATTCAAGTCAATTCAAGGCCACGGGTTAAGATCCCCTTACCGATCATCTTTAAAAAAAAAAGAAAAACTGCGGCTGAAGGCCATTTTCTCCATTCAAGTCAATTCTATGAACATCCCCGGAGCCAAGTGCTCTACTGGGCATAGGGGGATTGGGGGGGGGGGGGTAAGGTGTGGCCCCTGTTCTCAAGGAGCTGGAAATTCATTCTCAAAGTATCTATGAGCACCTACTGGGGACCAGGCACTGAGTGAGGGGTGCCGCATAAGAGAGATAACAGCCAGGTAATTAACCAGGTAGACACAAGGTGGCCAGTGCCACCAGGTGGCTTGCAGGAGCAGCCGCGGTTACTAGAGGAAGGAGGGAGGCGGAATTCCTTCTGCTTGAGACAGTCAGGGAAGCTTCCCTGAGGGGAATTTGAGCTGGGTTTTGAGAGATGAATAGGAATTTGTCAGGAGAAGAGGGAAAGGCATTCCAGGCAGAAGGAACCGCCTCGTGGAAAGCACAGAGATGGGAGGGGTGGCGTGGGCTGAGGAGGAACCCACCTCCCCGGGGCCTGCTGTCTGCAGCAGTCTTGTTCCCTGGGGAAGCCCACTCAGCCGCAGCCCAGGGCAGGTGCCAGGAGCTGAGGGCCCTTGCTGGAGGCCATCAGCAATCTGGGCTAAGTAAGTCAGGGGGGTCTGGGTTCGAATTCTGGGTCTGCCGCTGCTCTTCTGAGAACAGGGGATGACCAGACTCAGGGAGGCAAACCAGGCTGCTCCGCTGCCTGCACTGTGCTGCACGGCACACCCTCTGCCTGCCTGGCCTGGTGGAGGTGGCTCCGCTCAGTGCTTCCTCTCCCAGGAGGTGCCCTTCCTCAGTGGCCAGACGGGACTCTCCCATCCCCCAGCACTGTGGCATGGGACCGGCTATCCTTGCCCAGCCTAGCCAAGGCACTGCGACTGTCTGCTCCCTCAGGCTCTCCCACCACAGACCTAGTTGGTGGCACCCAATCCTCCTCCTCCTCCTCCTCCTCCTCCTCTTCCTCGGGGAAACTCTCATCAGCAGGGGCCGGGGTATAGCTTGTCCTTCGGGGCTCGGTGGGTGGGGGGCTGCTCCTCAGCCGGCTGGAGCGCCGCTCCTGGGGGGTCACACCCCGGACAGCCGCCTGTGGAGTGTAGGAACCTGGCAGGTGGAGACAGGAGACATCAGTATTCTGTGTCCTCATCTTGTCCTCCTTCCTGCCCCATTTCCAGCTATGCTGGGTGACCTTGGACAGTCTTTGTTCCTCTCTGGGCCTGCAGGACACTGTCCCAGCTCCATTGGGCTGGGCTTGGACAATGACCTGCCAGAGACAGAGGGTCAATATTTGGGATGCCCCCACCCACTGCTTTTGGCAGCTCTGAAGGCCCTGTCCCGAGAGAGAGCCGAGATCCGGGGAGGGCAGATGTCCAGTGAGTGAGGGCTAGAGCTGGGAGCCCCCAAAGCCCCCTGCAGGCCTCACTCTGCTCATTCCCTGAGCTGTCCTTTGGGGAGTTCCTGTGGCTCTGGGTCACAGAGGCCAGAAGGCCAGCCACGGGATTCAGACGCCTCCCCTAAGGCTGCCCAGAGGTGTCTGCCCCAAGCCAGGTCTGGTAGGATGGGGTAGGAGGGGGCTTCCTGCCTCCCCACCTTTAACTGGATGCAATGAACATTGATTTAGCACCTACTGTGTGCCAGACATTGGGTTAGGAATGAGGGAGACAGCAGAGGTGAGACCAGCTTGTTCCCTAACCTCACAGTGGAGAAATCGAATAGCCAGTGTGGAGCTGCAGATCTTCACCAAAGGACATGCCTGCAGTCTGGGCTCTGGAGCAAGGGGCCCTGGGAGTGGCTAATGGAAGTGTCCCTAAAGGACGGAGCTGGCCCGGAAAGGAGGCAAGGAGGAGGAATGAGTGAGGGACAGCCCCTACAAAGCCTGGCCGTGAGGGACTGGAGAGAGCTCGTGGTTTGTCCAAGGGCCCCGAGGTGTTACCTGGGCCCCCGAAGCCACCCTCCATGGCCGAGCTGTCCCAGGACTCCACAGCACTGTCCACACTGTGCACGGTGGGTGAGAACCGGGCTGCCAGCAGGCCTCCTTTGAGGGCTTCTGGGGGGTCATCGTCTGCATCGCTGGCCTCACTGAGGCTGCCCGACTTGCTGGGTAGCAGGGGGCCTGGGAGGAAAAGGGGGGTCACCTCTGACCTCGGAGACACAGAGATGCTCAGTGAGCCTCGGTGTTCCCACTTCAGCCTAGTTTGGGGATTCGCAGGCACTGAGCCCCTGCTGAGCTTGCTGCTGACATGGGGCAGGCGGCACAGTAGCAAGCAAACCTGTTTCACAGATGGCAAAACTGAGGCTCGGGAAGGCCGAATAACATGCCCAAGGTCACACGTGAGCAACAGTGGAGACCTGATGAGAGGGAAGACCCACAACTCAGGCTCCCTCCACTGCACGTGGTAGCCTCCCTACCATGCACAGGGACATATTCAGGGGAAACTGAGGAATGCCAGGTTACAGCCATTAAGTACACACGCAGGCACCTTAAGAGGCAGGAGGTGATGAGGAGCAGGACTCAGACCCAGACTGCCCCACACCAGCTGTGTGACCTTGGGCCCATCAGTCCCTCTGAGTCTCTCCTCCTCAGCTGTCCCAGGTGTCCTCCCACCTCCACAGGGCTGTGGCAAGGATTCCATGAGGTTGTACATGCAAAGCCTGGCACATAGGCACAGAGGGGTTTTTCCTTCCTAAATGGGCTGGGTGGCCCCCAGGGCATGGAGCAAGGCTCACGGTCTAGCTGCTTCTTGATCTTCAGTGTGACAGTCTCGCCAGCCACCTGCAGGAGGTGAATGGCCTCGCTCAGTGGCCGGCCCTTGAGGCTAATGCTGTTGATGGCCAGGATGCGGTCCCCCACATGGATGGCACCAGTCCTGAGGGCATGGGATGGGAGTTAGACATGACATGCAGTGCTTTGGAGTGAGGGTCTTCCCTCAGGGAATCCAGGGGAGCCCCACAGCACAAGCCTGGCTGACCCCAGTTAAACTCAGCTGAAAAAAAAAAAAAGCATGTGTGATGTGGGGTTGCATTAATAGAGGTATAAAGTCTAGAATCTGGGTGGGGATTGTCCTGCCTGACTCTAAAGTTAGGTCCTGAAACCAGTGTCCAGCACGAGTTTTGAGAATGGGTTGAACCCCACATACTAGCTGCCAAATATTATCTATGTGATCTTGGGCCAGTTTCTTAACTTCCCTGAGTCTCAGTTCCTTCATCTGTATAATGGGGGTGATAACACTTATTTTATTATCAAACTATAATTGAGGGATAAGTGGGTGAAATGGATTCACACTTTCCTCCAGCAGAAACCCTTGGTAGCCTTTCCCTCTTCCTGGGCCTCAGTTTCCCCACCTAGAGAATGAGCATAATCACCAGGGCCCTGTTGACCTCAAAGAAGGTGTGAAGGGCTGCTAAGGCCAGGCAGTAGCATTGCTTTGGCCCAGTGGTTTTCTTCCTGGACACCTATTAGAATTACTTGAGGAGGTTTTTAAAAAATGCAGATGCCTGGCCCCTACCCCTGAACAATTAGTGTCTCTGGGGGTGGAGCTAGGGAAGATGATTCTGAGCAGCAGCCAGGGCTGACAGCAGGAAGAAAAGCTGCAGCAGGTGCTGAGAATGCACTTGCCCTGGGAGGAGGAGGAGGCAGAGGACTGAGGTTGGGGTCTTGAACCCCAAATAAAGATGTCACGCCCAGGCAGGAGCTCATGAAGGGTCAAGCCTGGGCATTGTGCAGTACACTCCCCGGGGGCCTGGAGGAATGAGTAAGTCAGAGAATGGTGGATTTAGCGGGGGGAGCCAAAGCTGCACTGTCGAGGATGGTTGCTGCCAGCCACAGGTGGCTACTGAGCCCCTGAAATGTGGCTGGCCTGAACTGAGATGAGCTGAAAGCGTGAAGTGCACATCAGACTCTGAAGACGTAGTATGAAAAAAAGAATATAAAATATTTGTTAATCATTTTTATTACAACATTACATGTAGAAATAAATACATATTTAAGGTGAATTTTGTTTCTTTTTACAGTACTTTCTGAATGTGGCTAATAGAAAGTTTACGATTAAATTTGGGGCTTAAATTATATTTCAGTTGGACAGCATTGAGCTACATCAGCCTGGTGAAGGTGGGAGGGATTGTCTGTGCGCCCCCAGCACCAAGGACCGGCCAGCACACAGTAGATACTCAGTAAATGCTCAAATTGATGAAGACGTTTGGGGTCAAAACGGTCCTGCACTGGCCTCTGCAGTCTGCCAAGCATCCAGCAGGGGGTGCTCCAGGAGCGGGGAAGTCCCGCCTGAGCCTCAGGCCCCGAATCCATCCTATCCTCTGCCCCACCTGACCGAGCTGCTGCCTTTCCTGCACTGTGGCCTCTTCCAGGAGGCTCAACCCGCCTCTCCAGCCCCGGCCAGGCTCTCCCTTTGAGCCAGTTCCTCGCAGTGCCAGGGAGCTCACTGTTTCCTTGCCTGCCTGATTCATCCCTGCACAGCTGTGGAGAGAAAGTGAGGTCGCACCCACACTGGGGCCTGGTTCCACCTCTGTCCTCCACCCCCACCCCAGGAAGCCTGGGACAGTGCTGGGACACCGCCTTCTCAGTCCCCTCAACTGCTACAGTTTCAGAAAGTTTGTAGACGTGGGCAGCAGGGGCAGCCCCCCACTGCCTCAGGAAAAGCCCCAGGCTAAGCCCCAGGCTGCGCTGGGACCCAGTTACTGGGGCACTGCCTCTGTGCTATTCAGGCACACGGCTGGAACTCCAAAAAGCCTTACAGTGCTGACCTTCCAGAAACACAGGTTGGGAGGGAGCAGAAGGATTAACACGCTGATCAAGCACTTACCTGGGTCAGGACGTTGCTGGGGGCTGCCCAGCCTCCGCCCTGGGACGCAAGGACTACTGTTCATTTTACATATCCAGGCCTGAGGCTCAGAGAGGGGAAGTGACTGACCCATGCCACTCAGAGCACTGATGTTGGAACAGAGGTCAGAATCCAGTCTGATGGTCCTAAAGCCCAGCTTCTTCTTCCTGGAGGTCGCTGGACCCACCCCATGTGCCCACAGAGCCTTGGCTCACCTCTCAGCCAGACCACGCTTGGTGAGGCCCGAGATGACAATGGGGTCAAAAGGTTCCTCCGTGCCCGAGATGGTGATGCCGAGGGGACCCCCGTAGCGTTTCAACTCCACTGTGTAGCTGACGGCACCTGTGGTCTCCTGCTCATCTGCAAGGCGGCACCCATGAGGGGTGGGGGTGCCCCCCGCAGCCTTGACACCCCCTCACTCAGTCACACGTATCCATTCATTCATTCACCCATTCACTCATGCCATGACTTCAGATGGCACAAGCTGGAGACCCTGAGGCTGTCTACTGCTTCCAGACATGTCTTCTTCTGCCCAAATACCAGTAAAAAAAAAGACAGAAAAGGAACACAGACCCTGTATTTTAAAATACAGATTTCACACACCACCCACAACAACGATGATGATGACAATGATAATGATATAAGAAACCAGAGTCCAGCTTTTCTTTTAAAAAAAAGAGAAATCTGTCCACAAGGGACCCTCTTTCCCAGGGTTGGAGGCCACGCCTTTGAATAAGGGATTCACTCCCCAGTGGCCACAGCCTGTACCCCCGCTTTTGCCTGTCCAGCCCATCCGGCATTTCTTGCCTCTGTCCCGCTCGCTCACTGCTGTCCCTGCCAGCCTCAGAGGTGCCCGTGTGCAGCCTCTGCTGATGCGCTCGCACGGCCACCCCCTCGGGCACAGCCGCTCACTGCCTCACCGCCCTGCCTGCTGCTCCCGTAGGTCTCCTCTGCCAGCCAGTGCCCCAATCTCCCGCTGGCCTCATGAAGGCTCTGGGGGGCCCCAAAGCCCAGGGACAGAGAGAAGACTGTGGTGCTGCCCTTGCTCCATCTGTTCATTCCAGGCATCCCCACCAGCCAGCCCTTGGTGGCCGGCCCTTGGTGACACTCACCACCCTCCCTTTGCTTGGCAGAGGAGCCCCAAATTGTAAGCTAGGAACCCGCTGGTCCAGAAGGCAGACCTCACGAGGTGGCAGGGTGGGGCGAGGCCATACCCGAGTTGTCCTCATCCTTGCGGATCTTCAGCTTCACCAGGTCCTCACACTGCCGCAAAATTTGCACAGCGTCCTCCATGGGGCAGTTGTCCAGGCGGATGTTGTCGATGGCCAGCAGCTTGTCACCAGGCTCGAGGGTGCCAGTCCTGCATGAGCAGGGGTGGGGGATGGGAAAGAGCCAGTGCATGCGGGCACCACACCACCCCCTTGGCCACTGCCCCCGCTCTGTGCCCACATGCCCTACCTGTGTGCCACACTGCCTCTCTTGATGTCAGAGATGATCAGGGGCTCCCCTCGCTTCCTGCTGGCCGCTGGAGGGAAAAAGGGCACATGTCCAAACTTTGATGGCCTCAGCCTCGGGGAGGGGGCCTAGAGGTAGGGCATGGACTCAGAGCCACGTGTCCCACTCACATCCTGGTCCCATTGCCTCCTGGCTGGGTGACCGTGAGCAAATCAGCTCACCTTTCTGTGCCTCAATTTCCCCTCTTTAAAATGGGGGTGATACCACAGACCTCATGGGATGTGGGGAAATTAAACTGGATAGTGTAGGTACAAGACCCCAGCATGGCTCCTGGCAGATGGTAGGTGCTCAGTCGGCATCCACTGTTCCCCACTGCTCAGCCCGACTGCCAGCACACCGCGAGCTCCACGAGGAGCCATCTGGTTGACGTCTGTCCCCAGCACCTGGCTCAGGGCCAGGATCCAGAGCCCTACTGTTTTGGGGGGTAAGGTGGACAGAGCAGGGGACAAAACAGACAAAATCCTTCCCTGCCCTCCTGGAGCTGGCAATTTAGTGGGGACCCCAGAGGAGCCACAGGATTTAAAAGCACCTGGTTTCTCAGATGGTGTAGTGTGCTGCGGAGAAAAGTAAGGGAGGGGCCGTGTGGAGGGCGGAGCAGCTTTAAGTCAGGTGATCTGAAAAGGCCTGGCCGAGGTGACATTTGAGCAGAGAGTGAAGGAGGTGGGGAATGGGGCAGAGGGAACAGCCAGTGCAAAGGCCCTCAGGCAGGAAGGGGGACAGCATATTCAGGAGCAGCCAGGGCCAGAGGTCACAGGGACCAGAGCACACAGAGCCAGAGGTCTTGGGGACCAGAGCACACAGGGCCAGAGGTCTTGGGGACCAAAGCACACAGGGCCAGATGTCATGGGGTCCACAGCGCACAGGGCCAGACGTCACGGGGACCAGAGCGCACAGGGGCAGAGGTCTCAGGGACCAGAGCACACAGGGCTTCATTGGCCCAGTGAGGACTTCACCTCTTACTCAGAGTAGGGTGGAGCCACAGGAGAGTTCCCCACTTTCCTACGCTCGTGTATTCTGTTTCTTTTTTTGTTCTGCATTCCTCATTTTCATTCCTTTGACAAACATGAATTAAGTACCTACTGTTTTCCAGACCTCTTCTGGGCTCTGAGAACTCAGAGAGACAAACAACCAAACCCGGTGCTTGTGTTTGGCACTTTACCAACCACTCTGACCTGAGGGCCCCTCACAACCCCACTGGGAGACCCATAAGGCCAGGAGACTCCACTGTGCACCATGGGAAGCCCAGGCTTCGAGAAGTTCCGGTCTTGCCCGAGGACACACAGCTGGGCCTTGGCCAGCGGATGGAATGGAAGGCAGCCTGGCCTCCCCACCCGGAGCCTTCCCCGGGGCTTTGCCGCGTGTCATGGCCGTGGCAACGCTGCACCTTCTCCCAGCAGGTGGGCTCGCTCCCGGAGGCAGAGTGGAGGGGTGCGGCAGGCGAGGGGACTCACAGCTGATGGTGATGCCCAGCTCCACACCGCGCCTCTTGGGCAGCTTCACATGGAAGGTGCCGCTGCTCGGGATGACAGACTCTGGGTACAAACAGACGTGGACCAATGTGAGGCCCAAGGGAGGAGCCTCAGGGAGTCCTAGCCCCGCACTTATTCTGACCCTGCTGGGAAGGACCCCCCAAAATCACCATTCCAACACCACCCTGCTTCCACCACCTGATGGATGAGGAAACCAAGGCCTGGTGAACTGGCAGATTTGCTCAAACAGCCCCACACTTATTCTGACCCTGCTGGGAAGGACCCCCCAAAATCACCATTCCAACACCACACTGCTTCCACCACCTGATGGATGAGGAAACCAAGGCCTGGTGAACTGGCAGATTTGCTCAAAACAATTGACTGGCTCTGGTCAAAGCAGTGTCAACACTGGAACGCATACCTCATGACTGCCAGCGGTGGGAGGGGGTCCCCATAGCCAAACTCAAACCGATTTGGATCCAGCAGAGATTTCCTGATCATCTACTCTGTGGGAGGCCTCAGCTGGGTATTTTCACATGATTTATCTCATCTAACCCAAACAACACCCCTGTAGTGGAAAGTTTCTATCTGCTCTTTTACAGATAGGGAAACCGAGGGTAGAGGGAGGAAGTGTCCTGTCCAAAGTCACATAGTGACTAAATCACAGAACCAAAGCTCTGACCCAAGTTGTTGTTTTGGATTCTTTGCCAAAGCCATGCAGAGAAGAAGCTCAGAGTATATTCAGTCCCTCACTCCTCCATCCACACCAGGTCCTGTTCCACTGCAAAAGTTCCTCATCAACCCACACACCAGTGTGTGGGAGTTCCTCCTCCCCAGCCAGCGCCCTCCTTTCTACCACTAGTGCTCCGGCCTCAGCTGCAAATGCCCCTGGGAGAAGGGCACAGGTTGCAGATGGGGTGGAGGAGCATTTGCACCAGGCAAGAGCAGGATAAAGAGAGGGGGGCGCAGCGTCCCGAGTGTGAGGGGGAAGCCAGGGCCACCCACTCACCGGCCACGTCGAACTCGACCTCCAGCACGACCTTGTGGGCTAGCGCAGCGTCCCGCAGCAGCTGGTTGGCTTCCTCCATAGTCCCATCCTCGGTGGCGATGCCGTTGATGGACAGGACACGGTCCCCCACCTGCAGCAGCCCACACCTGAACCCGAGGTGGCCCGGCAGAGAGAAGAGGCTCTGTGACAGCTCCACTGGGAGACAAGGCTGAACCTGGGCTTTACCTCCTGGCCTGGGGTGTGAATCTCAGCTCTGCCTCGGGCCAGCTATATATCCTCAGGCAATTTGTCACAGGACCCTAGCTAAGGGCTTAACTTTACTGAGCCTCAGTTTCTCTGTCTGTCCAATGGGGATGATGCCCTGGGATTCCATTCATGAGCTGTGTGATCCTGAGCAAGTGAGTCAGCTTCTTTCAACTTCAGTTTCCTCAACTGTAAAATGGGGCTAGTGATGGGGTTGATGCAATGGTTAAGTAAGACACACTTGTGAAGCCAGGGCTTGGTGTTGTGACTCAGCTTCCCTGGCTGTCCTCAAGCCCCCTGAACTGGAGAGTGGCAGACCCGGCGGGCAGGGGCAGCACGCTCACCTCTCAGCTGGGCTGTCAGGCTCAATGAAGCGCACGAGGGGTGGGGAGGACAGGGTCTCGGTGGCAAAGATGCCACCCTGGAGCTGGAGGCCAAAGCCGCTGAGGGGGTCTCCGAAGAGCATGATCTCCGTGGTCTCTGTGTGCACGATCTGCCCACCCGGCCCCACTGTACTGGAGACCAGCGACACTGTGGGACAGGTGGGCACAGTACTCAGGGGGGCTGCCCCAGTGCGGTCTTCCTGCCAGAACCCACCTGCCCTGGGGCCCAAGGACCTGGAGCCAGAGAGGCAAGAAAGTGGGAGTCCCGATTCAAGCTGGGACTGGGCTGCTCTGAGCCTCGGTTTCCTCATCTGTACAATGGGATCGCAACTCCCATCTAGTAGGGGTGTGGCAAGGACTACAGAGATGAGACCACCCAGGATTGTCATGTTGTAAAACAGAGGTTCTGAGGGTCGGTGCTATTTTATTATATTACCATGCTATTATATAGTATAGTATATATCATGCTACTTTGTGTCTTTGGTAACAGCTTTATTGAGATATAATTCACATACCATAGTACACACCCACGGAAAGTGTACAATTCATAGGTTTTTAACATATTCACAAAGTTGTGTGATACCACACAGTCAATTTTAGATCATTTTCATCACCTTGACAAGAAACCCTGTCTCCTTTAGCTATTTGCCCCAAATCTTCCCATCTCCCTCAGCCCTAGGCATCCACCAACCTACTTTCTGCCTCTCTGGATTTGCCTGTTCTGGACATTTCATATAAATGGAGTCATACAATATGTGGCCTTTTGTGACTTGCTTCTTTCACTTAGCATAATGTTTTCGAAGTTCATCTGTGTTGTAACATGCACCAGACTTTTATAAGTTTTGTATAAGTTTATGGGTGGACACATATTTTAATTCCTCTTGGACATATACCTAGGAGAGGAATTGTTGTGTTATATGGTAACTCTATGTTTAACTATTTGATATATAATGTTATTTGATAGATATTATTTTATATCCCTCATATAAAATACATTTATATTATTAATATGGATACTGGATGTCATTTATTATTTAGTAAATAAAATTTATTTTGTACTTCATTCTATTACTACTTATATTATTGTGTCTGTATATATTATTTATTATATTATATGTTAAGTTACACACTATAATATGTATAGTATATTATACTGTCAGGTATATTATATTATTATTTTTATATATATACATTCACTATTATATCCCCAATGATAAAAATGGTGCCTGGTACACAAGAGGTCAAAAAATTTTGTTTAATTAATTAATTAATTATTATCAATAATAATAATTATAATACTTTATTAGTCACCCATCTTCAGAAGGGGACAGGTAAGGGGTCCCAAAGGCTCCCAGCCTCTATATCCCCCAGCCTATGAACAGCATAGGTATCACCTACACACACCCAGCTTTGGTAGTTGACAAAGATGATTGATAGAAGTATATTTTATCTCTCATCTCACTCTGAAATCTGTTTCCCTTTTCCCCTTGGCTGCCAGGAAGCTCAAAACAGTATCTGGCCCATTTGTCTCCTTTCATATGCCAGGTGACCTGTATTACTTTCTTCCTTCTCCTGGTTCAATTCCAAGTGGCTCAATTTGACTTTCCATCCTTCATGGATGCCTCCACAACTCACGTGGCAGGAGGCTGGGAATACTATAAATCAACAAAGGAAAGATGCTTCCCAAGAAAAGTTTCAAAATTTCAGGCATTCCCCTGACCTTTGCCCCTTCCTCCTGAATTGCTGTTACATTGATTCATTTTTTTAATACTGAAATATCTTCATTTCAAAAGGGAACTCTGTGTGTAAAGATGCTTCCCAAGAAAAGTTTCAAAATTTCAGGCATTCCCCTGACCTTTGCCCCTTCCTCCTGAATTGCCGTTACATTGATTCATTTTTTTAATACTGAAATATCTTCATTTCAAAAGGGAACTCTGTGTGTGTGTGTGTGTGTGTGTGTGTGTGTGTGTGTGTGTGTGTGTGTGTGTGTATACAGACACACACTCGTTTACAGTAAAACTGAAAATTATTACATTCTGGATGGCCAAAGTCTCAGGCCTGTGTGTCTTTGTCTTAGGGAAATTAACAAATGTGGGAGAGGTGTAAACACACAGTAATACCACACTGTGCCTTTCTCCTTGAATGAGTCAGAAGGACTGAATGAAAAAAAAAAATTGAAATGGAGTTACTATGAAACCATCACGAAAATCTTAAAAAGAATCCTCTCCTCAAGATATTTTGCTACCACCTGCTGGGAATTTTTCATAATAAAAGTATAAGACTAAAAGTGTACAAAGTGACTGGCACCCCTCTGCTGTGCCCTTGTGCAGTGCACAACATGCCCAACCATCCATGGCAGCCTGGTATACCACTCTTGTTTAACATTCCCACACACACCTGCCCAAAATACTTACCCACCCCTGCATTTTGGCAAACCTTGCTCTCAGGCATACAGGCAGCCTGAAGAGGAGGGGAGAGACTTACATGAGCTCTTGTGTTCCCTTCTTCGCTGCCTCCTCCGCCCCATCGTAGTCCGGGGGCTCATGGGTTGGGATCCACAGGGGAGGGTGCTGGGGTTGGTGCAGGAGAAGGTGTGGTTCATGGTCGGTGAGGAAAAGGGAGTCGAGGATAAGGCTGTGAAGATGAGAGCACAGCCTCGTGAGCCCCGTAGGGCCCCTGCACCTGCCACACAGAGGGTGCTGGAAAGCCACCCAACCAAAGGGAGACACAGGGACACCTTACCCCTTTCACCTCAATTATGTGCTGTGTAACCTCAGGCAAGTCTCTTTCCCTCTCTGGGCCCCAAAGACTGTGTGTTCTCCACAGACCCAGTGACACCCGGCTGCTAGGGACAGGAGCCCATCTCATCACTGACATGCTAGGTGACAATGGGAAGTTCCCCTGACGTCTCCGAGTCTTGGTTTCCTCCCCTATAGAACAGGCAGATTCCCCTCCCTAGAAAAGGTGAGAGGGACTAGACCAGCTACAGCAGGGTGGGCACCTTACATCGGCTCTGGTCCTGGCCAGCAGGTGTGGCCCAGGTGGGCGTCCTGCAGTGGCCGGGCCGGGGGCTGTGGCAGGAGGGCACGCAGGGGTCCCAGCGGCATGGCTGCTCACTCCTTTGCACTTTCACTGTAGCCGGCGGAGAAAGAGATGGGGGCAGGTACAGGGCGTTAGGGGCTGAGCGTGTTCGGACTCACCCCCTTTCCCCTACCTCACCTTTCCGGGAGCTGCTTTCCTGTCTGTGTGGTAAAGAGAGAAAAGTGGGGACCAGAAGATCCTCGTGTTTCCCTGAGCCAGGCAAGGCATTAAATGTTCTGCTCACAGGTCCCGGATGCCCACTGTGTGCCAGGCACTGTGCTCATGACGCCAGCTGCAGCCAGCTCTGGAGCCAAGAGGTTTACAGCTATGAATGTTGCCCATGAAGTTTCTCCTAGAAAGAACTGGAAGGTATGCAGCTGGCACGAGGCACTGGCTGCAGCACCTTTGAGATTCATGGTAGCATGGCAGCCTTGGCAGCCTTGGCCAGGGGCTGAGACCTAAGGGCGCTAGCACCTGGCCATTTCTGCCCCATGCTGGACTCTCTGGAGCAGCCTTTGCTCCAGGGCTCCCTGTTGGGCTGGCTGAGTCTCGGTCTGAGGCTGCTCCTGCAGCTCTTCCCAGGCCTTGCCCACAATGAACTCTTTGCACTCCTACTGCATCTTAGAATCTGCTTCCCAGAGGACTCCCCTGACATTCTACAAGATTCTGCCTCCCCCTACCTGATCCTCCAAATTGGCTGCCAAACAACACCTGCTTCCAGACTGCTCCAGGCCCTGTTCTGGCTCTTCTTTCTGCTGTGGGCTTTGCCTGCTCCAGCATGTCCTCGGATGGATGCAACCATCTCAGCCCATTGATTCTGCCTCCCCATCCAGCGCCCCCACCACCACCCCGGGGCTTGGCTGACCATGGAGCCAGCTGCCCACATCAAATCCCAGCTCCATCGCTGACCAGCTGTGGGACTTGGACAAGTCACTTAGTCTCCCTGTGCCTCATTGTCGTTATCTGTAAAATGGGACCAAAATAGTGACTTCCTCCTAGGGTAATGGGGAGGATTAGAATGAGTTAATACACATGACATGCTTAGAGCACTGGCTGGCATCCAGCAGGGGCTCAATTAACGAGTGCCAGTGGGTGTGTCAGCAGCTGGGTTACCATGCAGCGCTACCTCAGCTTTTCTGTAAAGTGGGACGATAGTACTATTGACCTCACTAAGTTGTCACGAGCATGAAACGAGGTGAAAAGGCCCCAGCGCCGAGCCTGCCCACAGCAGATGCTCGGTAAATGGGATGCGAAGGGATGACACTACTTCAAGCCCTAAAGCCTCCCTATCAGCCCCTGTGGCTGTGGCTTAACGGGGCCTTTTCAGACACTGGCAGAGACCAGAGATGGGCTGTCCCCAAGGCCTGTCCGCACATGTGATGTGAGGGATATCTTTCTCTTCCAGAAGACCAATTTTGCAAAAGGGGCGCTGTGGCAGACTCCATCCTCACCCACCAGCTCTGCCCTTAGGGCTGGATTCACAGCCTGCCACCCTGACCACAGCCCTGGGCTGTGCTCTGTTTTTTATTTTCTTTAACCTCCCTCAAGTCTGTGCACTCAAGGTCCTCAATCCCATTTACAGATGAGGCGACTGAGGCTTAGAGTGGCAAAGGCACTTATCCAGCTGGGGGCAAAGGTGGGATTTCAGCTCAAGGCCCAAGATTTGGGCTGCTGGAGGTACCTTCCTGCCCTGACCTCCTTCCACCCTGCCCCAGACCCCAGCTCTGTGCTCCAGACCCCAGACCACCATCCCTCCGCTCTTGGAATTGCCTGGCACCCAGCTCCCTGCTCCCAGCTGGGAGACCCTGACTTCTCACAGGGGAGCTCCAGGCTCTCTCTGCCTACCCACCAACCACCTCTGGACCTACTGAGGACCCCCAAGATAAGCCCACGATCCATGCTCTGAGTAGCACAGAGCACAGAAGCACTGTCCCCTCCCTCATTCTAGCCATTATACTTCTATTAATGCAACCAGTGATAGAACCAGCTTTGGGAGCATCTACTCCAGCAGACTGTCAATTGAAATTCAAATACTACCATTTGCAACAACATGGATGGACTTAGAGAAAATTATATTAAGTGAAACAAGTCAGGCACAGAAAGAGAAATACCACATGTTCTCACTTATTTGTGGGAGCTAAAAATAAATAAATAAATAAATATACAAACAAACAAAGGGTGGGGGTGGAAGAGGAGGAATCACAACAATTCCTTGAACTTTTTAAGACAAGTGAACTGATATGATGTAGTGGGGAGGGGAGATGGGGGGGGAGAAGAGGAACAGGTAAAGAGTCATGAAAATTGACTACAATGTATATTGAGAAGTTAAAAAAACAAACAAACAAAAAAACCCCAAAGTTGTTTCTCTGTCCCGCCTCTCCACCCTCAACTGCTGCTCTTGACAGTTCAAGCTTCCCTGTGCAAATGGACACTTATTCCAGTAAATTTTAGCCTGGTCCCTCCTGCCAGCCTGCCTAGGGCTTTGATCCTGGCCCCTGTCCATCAGCTCTCAGGTTTGGGTCCTGAGATCTGTAAGACAACTCACCTGCCTCTGAGGGCTTCAGAGGCCGCTGACTTTGGGGCACAGGCAGGATCTCCAGCTGCACTTTCTCCGACACGCTGGCCAGGAGTTTGGTGGCCTCGAGCAGCGAGCAGTGTTCTGTGCTGGTGCCATCAATGGACAGGATGTGGTCTCCAGCATGCAGGGCCCCGCTCCTGGCCAGGCAAGGGAGTGAAAGGGAGGCTGGTCCAGGCCGTACAGAGCTCTGGGCTGCCTCTCTGCCTGCACCCACCGCCCCCTCCTGCCGGCAGCAGCACAGAGTGTGTGCCTCACCTGTCCACCACGCTGGCTGGCTTGATGCGGTCGATGGTGATGACTGGCTTGCTCCGGTGGGAGCCGGTGGTGAGCGAGATCCCCAGTGAGGACCCCGGCGTCTTGGTGATTTCCACCATCAAGGGCCCGGAAGCATTAGCCACTGTGTCTGGCACAGTGGGAAAAAAGAAGCATGAAACGCACTTTCCTCCTGGGCCTTACTCTGTCTTGATTTAGCCCTTGCTGTCTGGGAGGGATGATTACACCCATTATAGGGGCAGGGAAACTGAGGTGCAGAGAGGCAAAGGCCTCATCCAGGCTCACATCGCCACTCAGCAGCAGAGGAGGGGTGGGAGTTCAGGTCTGAGGGACTCTGATCCCAGGGCTTTGTTGGGCACTCCTAATTTGCTCACATTTACTAAGAGCCTGCTGTATACCAGCACCAAACTGTAGTGTTCACTACAATCCATCCCCATCTCAAAAAACGGCACCCCCATTAACCCAGCCAGGGGCTCGAAATCAAACCCCTTGCATCACCTGAGCTCCTCTGCCCTCGCTGCCCATGTCCAAACATCAGCAAACCAGGCCAGCTTCCACCTTCACCAGCCTCACCTCCTCCAACTCGCCCTCGCCCGCCTGCTTCAGCCACAGAGGCCACAGTCAGCTAACCCTGCCAGCCAGGCGCCCGCCTTAGGGCCTTTGCACTGCTGTTCCCTCTGCCCAGAATGCACTTTCCCAGATGTCCACTCCCTCACTCATTTCCTCAGCACCCTGATTAGATAGTGCCCCAGCCTTTCCCATCCATCTCCCCTGCTCTGTCTCTCTTCTTCCCACAGCACCTACTACCATCTGACACACACTGTATCTCATCCATTGTGCTTACTGTCCTTCTCTCCCCACCAAAATGTCATCTCTGTGAGAGCAGAGACCTCAACCGTGTCATTCTCAGCTCGATCCCCAGTGCATCAAACAATGCCTGGCACATAGTATTTCTTGCCCAGAGAGGCTAAGTGATGGGCCCAAGATCACACAGCCTTTGCAGCGGTGAGGATCCATGGACACTGCCTCCTCCCCCGAGCCAGGGCCTTTTCTTGCCCCAACCCTCACCCTCAGGCTCCAACTCACCTGGGGTGGCCACGTCATACTCCACCTGGAAGAGCGCCTCGTGGCTGCACTGACGCAGGGTGGCCAGGGCAGTGGCGTGGCTGGCCCTGTGCAGCGGGATCCCATCAACGCTGAGCAGCCTGTCACCAGCCTTCAAGGAGCCCTCCCTGCGGGGAAGAGCTCTGTCGGGCATGGGGCACGGCCCAGCTGAGAGGGGGCTGGGGAGGGTGGGGGCATGGAGGAAAGGAGGGGAGGGAGTGGTGACGGAGAAAGGGCTGGAATGAATGCGTGAAGGGATGCGTGGTGAATGCAGGAATGGGGGACTCGAGGACTAAGTAGTTGAGCAAAAGCAGTGGGTGAACAGAGGGCGTGGGCTCGGCCCTGACACACGCCCCCACCTTGGTGAGTAGTAATTCACAGACTCGGCCTCAGCTCAACCCTAGAACATCTGAGCTGGGGGTGCCCTTCAAGGTCACCCACTCCCCTTCTGCCCCAGGGACAGAGGAGAGCAACAGAGCCCAGAGAGGGTGTCCAGCTCTGCCAGGGCCACACATCATCGGGGGTAGGGTGGCATACAGGTTTCTCACTGCCATCATAGGGGTCCCTTCCCATCACCCCTACCCTGGTTTCTCACAGTGATTCTGGCCTGGTGACAACTGCGCCTGGGAAAGAACACAGCAGCGGCCCCAGGGGAGGGGCACTTGCAGGGTTCACCTCGGTTTGGGTCAAATCCATGCCCTGGAATGCCTGCCCCAACAGGTGGCCAAAGCTATTCTGGGAGGTTCTATGAATAGCTCATCACAGGGCCCCATCTAAAGGACAGATTTAGATTTCTGACAAGGCTGTTCCTGGCTTCTCTTAAAATGGCTAGGAATCTCTGGCTGGGGAGGCCAGAGGGCTGGGGTCTGGGAACTGGACGTGTTCCTTACCTGCATTCCCTCCTCCTGGCCCTTCTGGGCGGGGCTGGGCTGGGCCCAGAGGGGCAACGCAGCCAGGACTCTTGGGAGGCTTAGTCACAGATGGCCACAGTGCCGACCAATCACCATGCCCCGAGTCAGTAGGATGTTGGGGAAGACAGAGCCGAGGGCTCTCTCATTTGGGGTTTCATCCTGGCTCCACCAACAATTCCCTGAGTGACTCTGGGATGAATGGGCAGATTGGCCCCTAATCTGCCTTCTTCACAGGGGAGCTGGGGGAGGTCAACACAGTGTGGCTGTAGGTTTCTTCCGGCTCAGGCTCACCTGTCAGCTGGGCCGCCAGGCCGCACGTAGGTCAGAACGAGTGGGCGGGACTTGTGCCCATCTTCATGGGCACCTCCTGGACAGAATTCAACAAGCAGCAGGAGTCATCTACCCACCCATTCCCTGATGTCCAGAGGTCCTGACTCAGGAGGCTCCCTCAATAAAACTTGTTTGAGGACCCTGTCCTTGCTATACTCATGGATGCTCTCATGAGGCATCAACTATAAACATCCCTCCCCACACCAGAAATCAGATAAAGACTAGGGAACATGACCATTTATCTCTGTTAAATGATTTGTTTCCCTTCCTGTGATCTCATCTTATTTCCCTTTTTGCCCCAGTTGCTAGGCAGCTCCACATTTCGTTGTCAATCTCAGTAGCAGGTTTCACCATCATTTTCTGGTACAACTTTCTCCTCTCACTTCCCGCAACCATGCACATTTCATTGCTTGGCAAATCTCTTCATTTAACACTTGACTTAATGGTCCTGGGTTCTTTAGGTCAGACGCAAGATATATATAAATTACACTCATTAAAGCAAAGCAGAACACACATGGGATTAGCATTAGCTTCTCTCTTGCCTCCCCAACTCCAAGGGTGATCTTACACTGACCTCTGAGGACAAAGCCAAAACTATTGCCCTCTTTGTAAAGGGAGATGTCCACTGTCTTCGAAATGATCCTTGGGTTGTTCTCAGGGGCTGGGGAGAAATGGAAGACTCCTTTGAGTCCCTCTGTCACATTTCCAAGCCATCCCTAAAGTTCATTCCATGAGAGTTGGGTGACCAGTCACAGAAATCACAGGGAGGGTAAAACACTGCCCATTTTTCAGGTCGGACAAGTGAGGCTTAGAGGGACCCTGTTCTCTAATACCCACTTAGTTCACCACTCGGAGAGAGAAAGGACCTGCCCATGCTCACAGAGATGACAGCAGAACTCAGGCTTCAGGCCATGGCTGGTGCGCTAGGGCCAGGGTTGAATTCCAGACAGTTATTCAAATTTCAAGACTTTAGACCAACTTTGAAAATTCAGTGCTCCATGAAACCCTAGGCTACCCTGTACTTAGTGCAGGTGGTGTGGTTTGGGGAGCATTGGGACAGGGAACGATTTATTCAGCCAATGTCCCCAGAACCTTCCCCCCTAAAGGGGAAGCATCTAGAAACTAAATATGCAAAATGGCAATAGGTTATAAATAGGGCCCCACCACCTCCTGGTGACAGAGTACCGCAGTTGTCGGCAAGGCCCCTAGGCGAGGCATGGATGTTTGGGGCCAGTCTCCAGCTTCCACCCACCCCATCTCCCCACCACCCAGGCCCTGGTTGGGAGACAGCTGTGTCCACCTATGACTGAGGCAGTGGAGAAAGTTCCCCGTCCAAGGGCACCCACCGGGCGGGGGCAGCTCATACTCCACCTCCAGCACCACGCTCTCGCCCACGTTCTTAAGCAGGGTGATAATCTCATCATGGCGGAGCCTGCTCAGGTGGATCCCGTTCACCGACCGAATGTAGTCACCCACGTTCAGCAGATCGCTCCTGAAGCGAGAAGGCCGGCACACGCATGACGTCAGGTGCGGGCCCGCGCAGTGCTGGCGTTCACAACCACCTGCCCGCAGAACCCTATGACCTCTGGATCGTCATTTCACAATGGGGAAGCTGAGGCTCAGAGAGGTCAGATACCTGTCCAGGGTTACACAGTGCGTGAACAGGACAGTGCAGATTCTAACCTAGACCTGTCTGACACCCAGGCCCCCACCCTTCTCTCTGGGCTGGTCTGCCTGCTTTTCCCCATGCTGGGGTGTCGCCCTCATAATAAAAGCTACGACTGGCCTCGGGCAAGCCTGCAGAGTGGCCAGAGCATGACTTCCTCTGCTGTTCCCTAACGCTCTTCCCCTGGCTCTCTCTCTCTCTCTCTCTCTCTCTGGGCAGCTGGCCAGCACAGGGATCCAAACCCTTGACCTTGGTGTTATACACCGCTGAGCTGACCGCCCAGCTCCCTTGATGGCTTTTCATGGTCAATCTTCCCTTGCGTTCTCTTGGACACATCAGTTCTACCTTATGCGAGGCCCAGGGAGTGGCGATGGGGAGGCTAACTCCCAGGCCTCATGGTCTGAGGGAGCCGCAGAGGTAACATGATGGGGAAATCCCGGGCAGCGCATGCAGAAGTGTGCACACAGGGCTGCTGGAGCAGAGCGGAGCAGCTGACTGGGCCTTGGGTCAGGCAGGGTTTCCCAGAGGCAGTGCCTTCTGCACTGAGTGTGGAGGGAAGAATGGGAGTCCCCCAGGAGGATGCAGTAGGGAACCACCTGTAGGCAGAGGGCACTGCATATGCCAGGGCCTGGAGGCACAAATGGCCGGGCCAGGGTGGGCTGCTATGGCTAAGTCAGCCTCTGGTGTAAGGGAAAGAGAAGGAGCCGGGGCCTGGAGTCATGGCCTACATGGGAGGCCTTCCCTCCGCAGACACCAAGCTGTGGTGCGCTCCTGGAAACAACTGCCTAATCGCTTTGCCTACAGCCCTCGTACATTTTCCACTTGCCTGGGCCCCCACGATCGCCCCCGCACCCCTTTCCTGCTGCCCCGCCAAGCCCACTTCTCACCTGGCTGCGAGCCCCCCAGGCCTCAGGCTGGAGACCCTGGGCTTCCCATCCTTGTCAGTGCCACCTGAGATGGTCAGGCCCAGTGTGCTGCCTTCTTTCTTGATCAGCTCCACCATGGTGATCCCTCGGAACTCCTCTGCCAACAGATGTGGGAAGAGTGAGCAGGCAGCGCAGGCAATTCTGGGCCCCCAGCCCCAAGACAAGTGATAGGCCAATACTTGGTAAGCAGAGCACTTTGTTGCATTACCCTGGGTAATATCATCCCCTTTTCACAGAGGAGGATCAGAGAGGTTAATGACTGCTCTAAGGTCACAGAGGGAGTTAGTGGCAGAGCTGATGCTCTCTGATCCCCACCCAGGACTCTCTGTGCTTCTGGGGCAGAGAAAGAGGGAAGGAGAGAAGCCTCATTACCTGGAATGCTCTGTCTGCGGCACACCAGGGCCACATCGGCCCCTCCTGCATCCTTGCCTCCTTTGGAGTAAGGCCCATCGTCTACAGGCGAGAAAGAGAGAAAAGTCCTGAACTCCACTTTCGTTTCAATTCCAGCAAACCCCCTCTGGTTTGGGAATTTTCTGCCTCATGGATGTGGCCCGTAAGATGGGTCCCTTTCTGACACCTGCTCCATCTGATTCTCTGCTGAGGTCCCCGTGGGCTGCTTCTTCCAAGGAAGCCTCCAGTCTCTGCATTTGGGGCTGAATGACATTCTTCTGAGCACCCCACTTATTGGGAGCTTCACAGCCACTCTGTGGTTAACCATCTCAACAATCCTGCGAGTGCTATTATCATCATTATGGGTAATATTATTCCACCGTACAGATAAGGCTCAGAGAGGGCCAACTCATGCCCATGGTCACACAGCTGGGGAGCTGCACAATCTGCATTAGAATCTAGGTGTGCTGATCCTACCCCCCAGGCTGTGCTCGCATATCTGCTGGGACAGGGAGCTCTCTCACACGCAGGCACCGCGGCTTGTGTGAGATGACAGCTCTGTGAGCAACAGATCTCGAGCGGATCTGACTAGTGCTTTCTCATGAGGGCCGCACTTATAGTTTACAATACACCTTCTCAGATATTCCAGGCAGCCCAAGATAAGTCTGTCCCCTTAGCATTAATTCAAAAGAACACTCTCCCGTTGTTTCTTCAAATATCATTTTCAGGACTTTCCACTTAACCCTCCACGACCTGTCACACACCCTGCTCTCACATTCCCTCTCTCTTTCTCTCTCTGGGATGTGTCTAATCTGCAACGCAATCTGTCTTTTGGTTTTCTGGGGTATTTTTTGGCCGCTGGCCAGTACAGGGATCGAACCATGGACCTTAATGTTATCAGCACCACGCTCTAACCAAGTGAGCTAACCCGCCAGCCTGTCTTTTGTTCTTTTATGTTACTAGGACATTTTCCATACATTTCAAACATAAGGGAAGTAGAACAATATGGTGCAGAGGTTCTCAAAATGTGGTCCCCAGAACAGCAGCACCAG